CTGTCGTGCATGAGTATCATGGAGGAACTCGGACAACAGCAGGAAGAAGAAAATGGGTGGACAATGCTCAGCCAAGCGGAAGAAGCACTGCAAAAGGCAAGCGGCAAGCCATACCCAATCCACTGTTTGGGATGCAACGAGGAAGGACACAATTTCCAAGACTGCCCACACAAAGAGGACCCCCAAGTCCTAAAACGTTTCTATGAAAAAACTGGACCAGTGGAAGCAACGAAAGAACAAAGAACAGAATCGAAATAGAAATAATAATTCCCATTATTGACGAGGAGGATATCTGACCCAAGCAATCTGCGATACAGTTTGTGTTAGAAGTAAGCGATCCACTGCCGCCTGCAATCTACCTGTTCAATTGACTGCAATTTAGCTGTCCAGGTATTGTTGCCTTCTAAGTATATGAATTTACAGTATATAGAAGTATATAGATCTATCAGAGATCCTACTTTATCAACCAATTCACTCGTTGCTTGCAATATAGTATAAAAAGTGAGAACAGTCTGTCAACTTTTGACTTTGACTATTTCTTCTCCAGCTCAGTGGAAATTCTCAGAATTCTCTCTATGTCAGCCTGACAAGCTGCAAGTTCAATCTGTTTATCCGTTCATCTTCCACTGTAGTCGGTACTTTGATTAGTATCCAACTTTGGTTCTTGCTTGAATCTTGCTTTCTTACATCATCATCATGATGATTTCCATAGAAATAAATTGTCTCTTCTGACTTGCCACGCGCGATATTTTTAGTCGTATCAGTCTTCATTTTTAGTCGTATCAGTCGACATCATTTCTCTATCATTCCCATGTATTCTCTTTTTCTCGTTTCTCCAAATATGTACTTCGAAAATCCTAATATATCCAACAGTTCGAGCCATCAAGGATCCACAGACAGAATCTGGAGAGAGGACAAACCTGTTGGTGAATCTTGTCAAAGTGGTCACGGCCCACACTTCCACAGCATCAGCAAGGAAAAGACCAAAACGGCAGTAACCAAGCCGGCACTATCATTTGTCACCTTTGGAAGCTTTGCGGCCATGGAACAAGCCCACCAGCTGAACTTCTTGGTCAATGACATGCTGGCATTTCTGAACTTCCCCATCAGACTCAACGAATCCAACACAGCCAATTTGAAGGGACTCTACGACACTGGAGGATGCTGCAACATGGGCAAGAAAGACTACCACCTGTCCATCGCAAAACAACATCCGCACCTTGTCAAACAGATCTTTGACCTCCAGAAGATCCGCTACGCTCCAATCAAGATCGGGGGAATCAAAGACAGTGTGGAAATTGACGTCATCATCAAATACTTCATTCCTTTTGAAAACGGACAGGGAGAGAATCACACTTTGATGATAGGACTGACGGACGACCTTCCAATCAACACACTTTGTGGATTACCATTCATCCTAAAAGCCAAGCTGGTAGCTCAGTTCTACCGGAATGCGGTCATTTCCAACTTCTTCAACCAGGAATTTGACCTCACATTGGAATGCCCGAGACTTCTCCCAACGGAGCATGTGGAACGGAACCAATCATCGGATCGCAAAGTATTCTCGGTCAGATTTGACACCACAGCCGAGAACCTTTGACAAAGACGGGGGAGAACTCCAACAGACTTCCGCCAACAAGCACTGGAAGCAGGATACTACAAACAGATCAGCAGAACGCAAGGGTTCTCTCCCATCTCCCATCCAATGATCACGACCATCAAGGAAGCGGCATATCAAACGTTTGCGGCAACATCAGCAACCGAGGAAGAGGAAATCATCGCCAGACGGGGACAGCTTCCCGACGGGACGAAGCTAGTCAAAGTTCCAAAACGGATTTGGCAAGCGCAAGTGAAAAACGTGTATGAAGAACCGGAGGCGGACTTGGACAGTCCCTAAACCCACGATTGGATGTTTGAAGAACATGGAAGGACGGTTATCAAACAAAAAGCACCGGTACAGAGGCGTACAGACATGATAGAATGGAATGCAGACGAACATTTGGAGGAACTCAAGTCACAGGTGCAATACAGAGATTGTCCGAGCGAATGGCAGCCCATATTTGACGCAATCTTGAAGGAATACTGGGACGTCTTTGCCAAAGAAGGGATGCAAAAACACATCCTAGGCTACAAATTCAACATTGACACAGGCACCATTCCCCCTGTGTGCTGCAAGCAACCGAGATATGGACCGCACAAAAGCCGGGTAACGACAAACCTAGTGGAGCAACTAGAGAGCAAAGGACTCATCGAGGACGACTTTGGAACATGGGGAGCGCAAGTAGTCCTGGCAGCAAAACCAAACCAAGGGCACGTCCACTGGTCCCAGTACATCTTCCGATTGTGCGTGTCATACCGCAAACTGAATGCACTTCTACATCCTGAGATGTGACAATGCAGTGGATACAGTTGGAGATACAAAGTTCTTTATCACAATGGATTTGGACGCAGGCTACTGGCAGATCAAGATGGCTGCCTCATCAAAAGAGAAAATGGCGTTCTTTGTACCAGATAGCAAGAAGCACTTCCTAATGATGCCAATGGGGATACTAAGCGCCCACGCATTCTTTGTCTGTGTAACCATTCAATTCAAGAAAGAATGGCATGAGTTGTACAAACGAGACCCAAAAGCAGCACTACAAAAACTACTGGACATCATCAACAAGCACAGAGCAGCCATCACGGTGATCCTGGGCGAAAGCGCCGTCAAGGACATTGAAACAAAAGTGGCGATCGCTCTATTAGAAACGGACCAAAACGCATCAGTAATCGTCGATGACATCATGCTATTTGACACCAACATCTTATCACTGATCGCATACTTTGTAGCCACACTTGAAATCCTCCAACGATACCGAGTGACCGTCAACCTAAGAAAAACGAGGTTCCTACCAGCACGGGCAGAATTTGTGGGACGTG